AGGCCATACAACTTCGTAGAAAAATTCGAAAAATGCAGAAAGCATTCACTAATATTGAAGAAGTAAGTTTTTTTCTGAAAGATAGATGTCATTGAGTAGAGTTTTGAGATTCACAAAATTCAAACAGCCTTATGTTCCTCTGTAGAACAAGGCGCCGCACCTCTTTATGTGTATGCTCTTCGTTTACGATTTATCAAAATCAGCTAATTGGCAGCTAAGATTTCACTTCTAGAAAACCAAGAAAGAAATGGCTGTTAAAAAGTTTCTTGAATAGTGCGGATTTCTGGTTTGCCCGGACGATGGAATGAAATTTTCAGGCAAACTGATTTCTACAAAAATATACCCTAAGTTAGTGTAGGCAAACCACATTGTGAAAGCTTTATTGGGCGCAGGATCAACACTAAACGCCACGGGACTAATACTCGCCCCATGCGCCATACCCAATTGCCGTAGATCCAAATAGACGTGGTGTGCACATCTGAAAGAATAATGCGCTGTAATGGAGAGGCTTACCTTTGGGAATTTAAGAAAATTTCAAATATGGTAACACAACAATAAGACTTATAAAATATTTATTTGGTTCTCGATGGACCGAACAGGGTCAACCATAATTTTGGCAGTCACAAGTTACGTTTGATCTTACATGGCATTGATGAGGGGACAATGAAATCGCCCAGACTGGTAAGAGATAAGCAACAAAGATAAAAGATTTTTATAGTAACACTTTTGAATTTTCTCTTCTGCATTATCGTAGGCTCGGATTTGTCATGTCGTCAGTAAACTTGAAGAACAAATCCGTCCCGTTTTGGATGATTGTATTTCAATCGCTACTTTAAGAAGTGGCCTGTCTTTCGTCGTGTTCACTTTCCCTCGATGTTATGTCATTTCGGACGGAATCCATGCAAGCAATCGGCTTACCACTAACGAAATTTGTGTACGTACGCTCGCTGTAGCACAAAGACTTTTTAAATACTGTAATCGTTTGGGAATTTTCAGAGTTGAGAATTGCATTTGAGATGTTGCGCTACTCTCACTTTCTTTAGTCAGCACTGCCGCTATCTCAAAGTCTAGCGTAAAATAGAAAAGCAACTGGAAATCCCCTATCTAATGCCTTTCCTTTTTCATTTATTATGTACAATATATACATCCAATAATCAGTAGAAGCAGTCAGTAAATGGGATTGAATATGCTACGCCTTGGCGGCGGCGGGCTTCTTGATAGCTTTGGCAGTCCTCTTCCTCTTGGGTTTAGGCTCAAGAAGCTCCACAGGTTTTGCCTTCGGTTCAACATCCTTAGCGGCAATCTTCGCCTTCTTTTCGGTCTTGGATTTTGCAGCCGATTTCTTT